TCCACCAACGTCGACCACTGCAAATCACCTCTCTCCCTGCCCTCCACAACCACAACATTCTCATCACACACACTCAACACTGAACGACCGACACACCGCAGATGTCGCTGGTGTCGTCCGACCACACCCGAGCAATCGTCGTCTCAGTCCAGCACCAGCTGCCGAAAACAACACTCACTCATGCATAATTTCATGCACACAAACACACACACACACACTACACGCGCGCACGCGCACACGCACACGCACACACATGCACAAGCACACACACCACCTGACACTTCTCCACCAATCAGTCTTCACCATGATATGTCGTCAGAAAACACGTCTCCACTGGTCGAGTTGGTGTGTCGACGCTGACACTACTCTGGTTGATAGTAGCACTGTGATGCATGGACGACCGTTAAACCATGCTCAAGTGACCTTGAGAATGTCCACCTACTCACTAGGGTTAAATGGGGTTTGTAGATTAGTGTGAAGAATTACGATTAGGATTTACGGTTGGGCAGTAGGGTTGGGAACTAGAGTCAAGGTTTTCATCATGAACTGACATCAGTTATAATGGTATAATGCAGTTTAGACATGTGGATGAATGAATTTGGTGCTGAAATCCAAGACCTGAATTCTTAAATCTTATTGGTTCTTCTTTATATTATTTTTACGTTATGGGATGAATGCATTTTTCTTTAATTGTCCTATTTTTCGGAATTTTTATTGTAGATATTTTGTAGTTTTTTCGTTGTTTTCTTCTATGTCCTAAATTTTTTTAACTATAAATTGTTTGAGTCTCTCTTTTGATATTGTATTACCATTTGTCTTTTGTTTATATTCTCGTTTTGTCTCATGTTTTCTCAATCATCCTCTAATCATTATGTCACTTTCATATAGTACTGCTGTTCTTCTTGTTTCTGTATTTATGATGATTATTATTTAAATGTTTTATTGTATGTTTTTAGTGCGATCTTTTTTTGCTCTTTTTGATTCATCCTGTTTCATTCATTTTTCTTCTGTTCGATTTCTTTGTGGATTTTCACTTGATTTTGCCATTTTTAATTTTTGTTTTCATTGGTTGATCTTTTCAGTTTTTGAATTATTTTTGTGTTATTTCTTTCTTTATTCTTTTTGATTTTTTGCTTCTTAATTTTATTCTTTCTATTATCATATTTTTTTATTGTTTCATATTTTTATTGTGGCTTTTTTTTCTTTATTTTCTTCATTCATTTTGACCGATGTATTTAATATTAAAGTATACTTTCACTTGACTTACCGTTCACTTGTTTACTATACAATACTGCTTTGTTCTATTCACATTTTCACTATTTTATGTAAAAAATAATTGTCTGTTTTTCTTCTTGTTTTTGTTTGGCTTTAATCACATTTTATTTTTTTGTAAGTTTCTAATGATTGATCCTCTCTTCATGTATGATTCATGATTATTCTATTGTTTGAATACATTAGATATCAGATTTTATTATTAAATGAACCAATACTTAATTTTTAGTATCAAAAGGTGTTTTGTTGATATTATTAGTGATTTTAATAGTTGAGATCATGAGTCAACTGAATCTAGATGACCATGGAAAGCCTGGAAGCACTGGATGACCGTTTCGTCCTACTGTGGGACTCAGTTTCAGTTTCAGTTTCAGTTTGGCAGTGCGCATTCACGATACCGCATCGCGAGATTCCAATCTAGAACCTATCAGTCTCGTGCATGAGCGCTTAACCACTAGATTACTGAGCCAGTCGGCATACAACTATGTTAATGTCTAACTTCAACTAATCCACGAAATTGAGCGCCACATCCACCATTGTCTTCAGTGCGTTAATATCTCACAACAGACCCTTTTGAACTCCACTGTTCACTGCTTCTCACTAGAACTCCAGGAAGTTAGACATTGACGCCATTGGATGCCGACCTAGTGGTCTAGAGGTCAAGTGTTCGCGCACGAGACTGATAGTTCCTGGGTTTGAATCACACGAGGCAGGATCGTGGATGAGCACTGCCAAGGAGGAGTCCCACAATAGGACGAAACAGCCATCCAGTGCTTGCAGATTTTCCATGATGGTCTAGCTCCAATTAACTCATGATGTCAACTATTAAAATTACTTTATGTTTAGTTAATTAATTTTCAGTAAAGTTTACTTAGATAGAATATTAGATGCATTTAATTCAATTAAACTATGACTTCATATTTGTTTGTTTTTTTAGTTATATGCTTGAGTTGAATTCTAGTGTGAATGAATTTATAGAAATCTAGAAAAAAACAAACTATGTGACAGTCACTGGAAGTTATTATTCATCATAAAAGTTATGACATGGAACTATTAGAATAGTAAAGGTCAATCTATCAAGTGAATAAATTTTACTATTAAGGTCATATTTTATTAAATGATAAGATGTTTCATACTATATTCGTTTGTTGAATGGAATTTTCAAGACTAGGATTCAAAAGAAATTTTTTTATTACAGTTAATATATAGAGTATTATGAGACTTATAGATAGTTTATAAACTAAACTGACCTCAACTGTATAATTATAAAGAATAAATTCGAAGTAATAGAGAGTTACTTTATCTTAGTTTGAATTGGGTAATATTGGGAATTGAATGGAATTAGAAATATGGATCAATGAACTCTGACTGAACAGGTTAAAATATTATATACTTCCTAATATGATATGAAGATCTTAGGCTCAGTTCTTGGCAAGGTCGTAAATGTTTATAGTTGAGATGTTCTAAGATAAATTGAAATGACTATCAATTGCTTTTTGGTTTTTAATGGTTTTGTAGTTGAATTCAGTTTGTGATGCAAGCCATCTTACCGATGAATTTAAGTTACGTTGTATATAGCCATTTATATGTAGCTCTTAAATTAAAATTTCAGGTTTCTATTAGTCTTCGCAAATTGTCTATGGAACATTTATTCAGAGTTGTAACGAGAAAAGCTACCTTTTAACAATGAACATAAACCAGCATATCCTTAAATGAGCTAAAAGGCCATACAAATGATTACACTAAAGTAACATGACCCGATGTAACTTCGACTACATTGTTGTCTGGAACATAATCATTTCAAGTTTACCTATTATCATGAATTATTTTGTGAATAGTAAAATCACATGAACTTTATTGAGATCACAAATCTATTTAAGTTAGACAACCGTTAAAAACCTACATGCTCTGGATCTATACACCGATGGATCACCACTAAATCAGTGATCTAGAGGTTAAAATTCAGGTGTGATACTGAAGTCCCTATGTTTGACCCTTGGCGGCAGAATGGTGGATGACCATCTATAATTAACCAAAATAGCTATCCAGTGTTTTGAAGTTTTCAGTGGTTGTTTCATTTAGATTGGTTCGTGATAATTGTGTGGAAACAGTCTTAAAATCAAGTCCCCTCCCTCTAAAATACTAACAAATCAGCCAGCAAATATAATCTATTGCTAAATTATATTATGTTTTAGGATTATCTATCGAAAAATGGAGCTAAAAATGACTTTTACTGTGATCGAATTGCAATATTTTGTGAATCCAATTCTATTAACAGATCATTTAAACGTTGAATAATTTCTTTTTCCGGTCGAATCAAATATTTCCAATGGGATTCTCTAGCTAAACTGTCTATTTCTACAAATCTACAACTTACTAAATTATATATATAAGTTATATAGAAGACAATTTAGTTTGGTTAGTACACGTGATGCTAGAGATTATATTGACAAAGTTATGGTGTTAGTATTAGACATATTTCGGTAGTTAACATTAGGATATGCAAACAAAAGCTTTCCCTGGATAATAATAATAAATAATGTTATTGAAAATGAAATATTTAACAAAATATCCAAGACGAATATTATTTATTATTAGTGTGAGTGTGAACATAGTCAATTTATGGATCAGTTTAGTTTAGTTAGAATATCAATTGTATGAAATACTCCAGTCATTCAAAATCTTTGGAATTTATAACAATTCTTCATTTGTAATTCAATGAAGGATTATGATAATGGTGTTAAGTTATGAACATATCATGAATTCTTAACTTCAATCTTATTATTATATATTTTCTTACTCTAATGACACCCAGTTGACCTACATATTCATTCTATTTCTGTGTCAGAAACATTCGCTTGGTGTGGTGTTGATAGAAAGGAGCGGTGGGACGTGTGGCTGCTGGGTGGACATTGGATGTAGATGGCTCAGCAGGCAGATGGAGAACGGGTGTCAATTGTCCCAGGTGCCGGGTGGGTATCGGATGTTGTTGCCCCGGCAGGTCGACGGAGCTATGGAGGTCAGCGCGCTACAGACTCGACATTTCGACGGAGAGCGTAGCATAGCCTGCTGAAACAAAGAATGTGGCACGGCGAGCATGAACCACCGCAAGAACGACCTCTTTAAAAAGGAGGACGAGTGTGGTGTGTGCTATTTGTATTGACATAAGTAATATATAACTTTAGTCGTGAACAGAATGTCTGGCAGCAGAGAGACAATAGGATCGAACAGTAAAGAATGGAAACAGAATGCGATTTATATGAAAATGCAAAAACAATGACGTCTGAGTCATTTTGAGACAACTGATAGACATTTTGCAAATTAAGCATTTAATATATGATTGTTCGATTTTATTAACAAGTCCTGTAATTTTGTGCCAAATACATTCGATTGTCCCCACCCGTGTTCTGTTTACCACACTTTCACTCGTCAAACTAGATTTTATCAAGTGTATGTAAAACTGTAAGAGAATTGATATGTCCTGCTAGTGAGTGTCAAATACATGAAATAAAGGTTTAGTGATTTATTTCAATCTCACTTAATCACTTAACATTACACAATGTTGAATGACATAAAGTGATATAACTACATGATAACTTGATTGATAGAACTCGATCATTGTTAAATTCTAGACAAAAATGATATCGACTACTACTACTACTACTACTACGTTATGACAAAATAAAGAATATAATAGTATTAATGAAGTTGAAAATGTGAATACTTACCAAGAAAATAAACTGGACGATTAACAGGAAAACTTGGATTTCCATTAGCCCATGCAAATTCTTCTACTAATAATGTAAATTGTGATGGATGTTTTTTACGGTCAATTAATGGAGAATGTGAAATTAATGACTTCAAAGATGTTGATGTTGATGATGATGATGATGATAATGCCGATCGTTTATTGAATATTTTTGTAGAACGTTCAGAATATCTATTTAATTTTATATAGTGATTTTTAACTATTGAACTATTTTCCATTAAATTTGATTGATTTTTACTAAATAAATTTTGGGAATATTTCAAGTTCAATTTATCTTTTGGAATATTATTATTACTTTGACGCATTTGTAATTTTCGATTTGATTTATCTGGACATCTTAATAAAAGATTAACCATTAGATTATCATTTAACCACATTGAACATGATTCAAATACTTTGAATTCATATGTCTATGAAGACAATAAGAGATAATAATAATAATAATAATAAAACATTTACGGAAACTTAAATCTTTAGAGTATTTTGAAGAAAATTATACTTTATTGTAAAAAGTAAAGAAGCTTAAGAAGTATCATAGATCAAGACGTATCGAATAGATTGTTTTAGTTTAAGTCTCTTCATTCGTATATAATTACGATTCTATTTGCGATGAAACTCAGGCTATTAAGATCTTGTGGTAATAGCCCGAAGTAATTGATTTGGAATACAGTATTCTATATTTCCAACTTTGGTCATTCAATAGTATCAATGAGTATCTGTCTCAATTCACATGTATTTGATACCACAGAGTCACAATTTCTCACCAGTACCAACTTCTATGTTGGTTACTTGTGACTAGACTCTCATTAATAAAGTGGGATTGCGTGGAAATTGTTAAGTTAGAACTTTTCATTTGTTTTTTGAATTGTTGTCAGTCAATGATAACAAATTCCTGGTCATATATTCTCTATAAAACTTCATTCCATTAAGGATAATAGCATTGTGTAGTTGTCAAGGTTGTTACATTCCCAAGAAACTACTCATTGATTATCTCGTAAATTTGGGTTAACATTTTTCGTATTGAAATTCTCCACAGAAGCTATAACTTAGTTTTACTACGTTTAAGAAAACCTCTTTCTTATTAGTCCACGGTTCTTCAGGCGTGTTGCTTTTTTAAGACCTAATTCCAAGATCGTTGTACATATAACTGCTGCTAGAAACGAAATAGGAATTTTAGTATTCAAATATCGAAACGAAGCTAGAAGTTATCACCATTAGTTCAAGGCAAATCAATAGTGAATTGATTAATTGGATAATCCATCTAGTACGGAACCTACATTATATGAATAAGTCTTCGTTAAAGAAGAAATAAGAACAATTCACTTGAGAAAGTCTAATTTTTTGCAATATTATTGACTAGATCTGTACGATCATATTTATAATTATTCAACACGTATAGCATTCTACTAAAAAATAGAAAATGATTGTATCGTTTAGTGTTCGGAAACGTCATGTGGTACAAGAAAGTAAAATAAAAATAGTTTACGGAACAGAACTATGAGAGATAATCATACACCTGATAGATATAAGGAAGTAATGGAAAACGTGATGATAATAAAGACTGAATAATAATTGTGGAAAATCAAAAGAGGGTAATAAAAACTGACTATTGAGTAAGTAAAATTAATAGGAATGTTCGGAATATGGTAAAATGAAAGATTACATATACTACTTTTACAAACAGAGTTTAAGCTGAACCTTTGGATTATCAAAGCTTTTATATGCCTTATTTTAAGCCAACCCATTTAACTGTAGGGATGATTTTAAAAGATAATCCTATTTGAGAGATGTCACTAGAATTGATGAGATGTTACTGTATTGAGTTGATAATTGATTTTCATTCTCTTTTTAAAAACTGCTCTTATTAATGTTCCAAGATGTAATTAGAGAATATTGAGGTCATGCACCCATTATAACTTTGGACACAAGAACAAGCAAATTTATATATGTACACTGATGTAATCTAAGTCTTAGATGAATGGTATCGTCTGATTGAAAATTTTCTACACTGCATTGTTTCGCTTATTCTTCAATGGCTAAATTACCTCTGTTTAAGAAGATACTTCTCATTAATAAATGGAATGAATTCGGTAACGTAGAAAAGAAAGTTGTTTGTTGAACAAAATCAATGAAGTACATCTTTACATTTCTAGAAAAAAAACAGCTGTCCAACGTTTCTCGATAATGTTAAGTAGATTTTCGTCTCAGGAGACTACGTAATGACAACAAACTAGTCTCCGTACTTAGTTGAATCAATGATACTCTTTTAACTGTACACTTGAATGAGCATTTTCTTAAGTAGTTCTAAATAGAGCATTGATAAATTATTCCACTCTACAGAAACGGTAGTGATTCATTGTTTAAAATGAAATGTGTAATTTCAAAAACAGTTTGTAGTTCATGTAATACTGCCTTGACAAGTTAACACAAACCTAAAACCCTTTTCAATGTTTAATGTTTTTTATATTTTCTACACTTTATATAAATTCAATATTGATTGATTCCAGTTTGTGATTTTCTCTAGGTAACACTGAAGACATTAACTAAATATCTAACACACAACACAAAATTATTAAGGATTTTTATTACAATTCAAATGATACAAAATTAACTTACCCATAATATGTAAAGTGATTCTTGGGCACAAACAAAAATAATTTCATCTTTTGGTTTCACTCGAAGAAGTGGTACAGGTTTTGTTTGAAATCTAAATAATGGAAAATATGCATACTACTAATTGAAGGAAAATTATACACGGTATTTGTAAAATATGAAAACAACATATTGAATATACCATTTGTACATCTTCTTTGAATCGTCTTTTACAAACTTCATCGTTTTTTCATTTCTGTTGGTACTCTGACTGCTTTCGCTTTTCTCTTTCTTCTCTTCATCTCCCTCTTCTGCCGGTAAGAATCTTCCAACTCTACTACTTATATATGTCTGTATAAGTAGCATACATCATAATATCATAGAATAAATTTTTTTCATTTCCGTATGTAAACACCAAACATCGTACAGCCTTATAAATTTTTAATCATTTAACTTAATCTTTTTGATCAATTTTCATTCGATAAGGACACCTTTTTTCTTGCATTAATTATACATTAAAAGTAAATAGGATTTACCAATAAATCATGCTTCTTTGTACTAGTTAAAGTACGCAGTTTTTTCATAAATTTTGATTTTTAACAAAACAAACTATGATATTTAAATTATGTCTAACAGTAGGATCCAGGAAGCGCGTTTCTTCTTATCTAGGACTAATCAGCTGGATGTACTTGGATTCAACTATTAATGCTCATACTAAGAATGGAAACTAGTAACCATCGCTTCAAACACTGACAAATTATTCTGATTGTGAAATACTGGAAAATGCAGACTTACAGATAATTTCACTCACGCTGAGCAAGTTAGTAGATTTACAGAATCAAGGTTATAGTGTATAGAGCGTTGATATTAAAATTAATAGGTATCAGGTTCGATTCTCAGTATGGTCATTAATATTAAGATTTAAGTATATCTGCATAAAGTGTTCTATATAGGGCTGGGTGCTTGACCTTGATTCTACTGGTAACCAGAATCTAAATGCGTTAAAACTTGTAGCTAAACGGCTATGCCTAAGCAACCCGCTTAATATGCCGAAATACCAATAGATAGTGGTTATTTACAGTCTTTAACAACAAGAACTGAAAAATACAAACCCTTACAAGTAATCTTATAAATAAAGAAATAACCATTAATAAATGCATCATCTTATTCTAATGTATATGCTACCTGAGCTACAGAGGTCTTTCAGAATAATTGTCAGGAAGTTTATAGCTTACACAGACGCCCAATTTTGAGACCAACAGGCAGGATTCCGTAAAGATAGATCGTGCACAGACCAAATCGCAACTCTACGGATCATGGTGGAACAATCAATTGGATGGAATTTATCACTCTACATCAACTTTACTGACTATGGAAAATCATTTGGTAGCGTGAACAGAACAACACCATGGAAGCTTCTTCGACACTACGGTGTGCCTCAGAAGATATTCAATATCATACGAAATTACTATGATGGATCAAACTGCGAAATCGTGTATGGATGACAGCTCACAGATTCATTCGAAGTAAAAGCTGGTGTCAGGCAAGGTTGATTACTCTCACTCTTTCTTTTTCTCCTGGTGATCGACTGGACCATGAAGACATCAACATCTAGGGGGGTAGAAGCATGGGAAACAGTGGACATCTAAGATGCATCTGGACGATCTAGACATCGTAGACGATCTGCCTCTTCTTTCGCACACGCAACAACAAATGCAGGAGAAGACAACCAGTGTAGCACCAGCCTCAGCAGCAGTAGGTCTCAATATACACAAAGGAAAAAGAAAGATTCTCCAATAGCAACGCAACACGCACCAATCAAATCACACTTGACGGAGACGCTTTGGAGGATGTAAAATCGCTTACATATCTGTGCAGTATCATTGATGAACACGGTGAATCTGATGCAGATGTGAGGGCGCGGATCAGCGAAACAAGAGCAACATATCTACAACTGAAAAACATCTGGAAATCGAAGCAACTGTCTGTCAACCAACATCAAATTCAGAATTTTCAATACAAATGTCAGAACAGTTCTACTGTATAGGGCCGAAACCTGGAGAACTACGAAAGTCATCGTTCAGATGATACAAGTGTTTATTAACAGTTCCGTTGGCTAAACAATGTCAGTAACAACCTACTGTGAGAGAGAATAAAGCAGATTCCAGCGTAGGAAGAAATCAGGAAGAAGCGCTGGAAGTGGATAGGGAACACATTGAAGAAAGCACTTAACTACGTCACAATGCAAGCACTCACATGGAATCCTCAAGGTCAAGAGAAGGAGAGGAAGACCGAAGAACACATTATGTCGAGAAATGGCGACAGACATAAAAAGAATGAACATCAGTTGGATGGAACTAGAAAAGAAGGCTCAGGACAGAGTGAGTTGGAGTATGTTGGTCGGCCGTCTATGTTCCATTGCGGGTAACAAGCTTAAGTAAGTAAGTTATAGCTTATAATTCAATAACTACTCTCGAACTTTCAACTTATTCACCAGATATAAATACCTATTATTTAGATTTGTTCTCAAAATGCAAAACTTTTACATCGGACGATAAAAAATAATACATCAAGAACAACAACAACAACAGAGATGAAATGTATGACTTCTGAAGTTATTATAAACAATGAAACTGAATATAGACAAGTGTATTTAACCAAATGAAAAGTATTTATACTGAAAAGATTGAATTATGTATCTTAACTTTTTGTTTAATAAGGTTATATGAATCAAGTATTTATGAATATGTTTATATAATAGAAAGATACTTGGTAATATTCTTTCAATAATATTTCATTATATTCAAATAGAATCTAAATTTTTCACACGATTTGCTGTTAACCGACTCATTATATCTTATGTTACAAAAATCAACATGCAAATTTGATTGGTTTAACAAAGTACAGTTATGATTATTAAAAGCTATATATTTCTTTGATGATTTTGATTTTGATTATTACCCTGAAGAAGTCCAGACAAGTTAGCTGGACGAAACGTTGGAATTATTTAAATTTCAATCGCTGAGATTGTTTCAAATATAATTTACATATATAATGACTTCTCTATACTCGGCGCCCAATATCTGTCAAACTATTCGTTCTAATCTTGATGAATATTCGTATAGAATCTAAATTTGTTTAACATTAAAATTGAAGTTCATTTTATTTTATTCACTTTATAAAATTAAAATACAATCTGTTCTTATCATATGTAATCCTTGTTTTAAAGTCATATTAAGATGACACGCAAAAGATGCATTATTTAAATTACATTTAAAATAAATATAATTGTCATTATTTGTGGATTTCTATGTGTTGTATGTATAGAAATTCGATTATTATTATTATTATTATTGTTACGGTTACTATTGTTATTACCAGTAATACTAATACTATTCTCATTAATGTTTCTATTATTAGTAGTATTATTATTATTACTATTATTATTATATAAAAAAATAGCTAAAATGTCAAAGTGAAATAAAACTTTTCCCCCTTGAAATAAAAAAACCCAACTAACAACAACAAACATTCCGAGTTCTTGTTATGTTACTAGTGTTTTATGATTATCATTATTATTTATTCTCAACTTATACCCCACCAAATTCTTTCATGATCAACTAACCATCACTAAATTTGAATATTTTCAAAAGTTGTTATTTTATTATAAAAAAAAAAGAAAGTGGAGAAAATTAAATGTCGAAATTGGTGTTGCATAACTACTATTACAGAAGAGCGAGAGAAAAAGAAAGAGAGAGACAGAGCATTCAGAATAAAAAATAAACAAACTTATTTATGAACTAAAGGGAATATAATAAAACAATAATTGATAAACATCAGATTAGCGTGTATTGAACATTTAATTTTTTTTTCTAAAAAAAGTAACACAAAAAAAATGTAAAACAAAAAGTTGAAGGAATATTCTCTTATTTTTATGGAAACAAAACAATTAATGAAAAGAAAAGTAGACAAAAAAGTTTAAAAGAAAACAGTCAATGAAATATATAGAGAATAAAGAACAACCTGATAGAGAATATAAAACATATAGACATAGCGAGAGATAGAGAGAGAGAGAGCGGGAGAGACAGAGGGGGAGAGTGAGAGACAGTGAGAGATCGAAGAAGAAGAAGAAGAACTCAACAATACACTCACAAGTTATTACTTATTGTGATTTATATATCGAATTTTTGTAAACATAATTTATTATTACTTTTTTTTAAAAAATAATAACATAACTACATATATAGTTTGATATAATATTTAGTAATGGCAATGATGTTAATTTGATGAAAGAAGTGAATGGGCAAATTGAAGAAGGTATTTGTGGTGTTTAATAGTAGTGTTTATTATGTTTACACATATACAATATGTAATAATTAAGAAGGAAAATTACACAACTAAGGGAATAGGCAATAAATGGGAGAAGAAAAAATAATATGCATATGAATGAAAATGAGATATTATTCTGTAGATTGAATATTCAAACGAAACACTATTCTGTTCATGATACTTAAACATGACAACGAATAATGTTTAATTATTTTGAATGATAAAAATTATTTGCAGTTTCTGAATAGTGAAAAATAAAATTAGTTAAATGAACAGTTGAGATAAGATGGTGGTTGGAGGTAGTCAACAGGAAACCCTGGGTCTAGGTTTCGTGCTAATTGGTATTTGTCAATAAGGTATACCTGTAATCTTGAGAGAACTGATGTTCCCAGATGGATTCGATACCGTGTCATCCAGCTTCACAGTCAGAGACGTAACTACTGAGCTATCCGGGCCGCGATTGACCTGTTGGACCGATATGTATTTATAATTGATTGATCACTGGGTGGTGATCAATGTCATGTATGTCAGTTCCTTCTCAGTATAGATCGAATTTTATCGACCAAGATGAGATGTGGCCACCAGTCTAGATGACTTGACATTGCATACACTATGTTTAACATATGAAATCCAAATCCTCCAAGCATTCATATTTCAAGTAGCTTCTAGCGATGGTGTTTTATGTTTCGCTTTTGGTATATAAATGTTTGTTAATCTGCCGTGCTGGCTTTAATAACAGCTCATTTAAAGACTTACGTCGATAATTTGTTGTCACTAACAGTTACT